AAATCTGGATGATTCTACTACATCGAGTTTCGGGTCATTTGACAGCCACAAAGTACGAGATGTCTGTTTTACAATAAGCTTTGCTTATCTGGTGGACCTACCACAGACGAGGTTGATGGATGAGAGAGGATGGACGAGATGCCTATTCATCCACAGGTAGATGCCGACACCACCGAACAACACCACTAGAAGGCCCCATGGAATTACTATAGCCCACCACCTAAGGGAGGGAAGATGCAAGATAATGCAAATACGCTTTGTGCTATCATATAGAGCACTTTTTCCCAACGCGCTGAAGGATTAAAAATGTGCGCTCAACCGTAGGGTGGACTCACGCGGCCCAGATGATCAAAGAGAGTGAGATGCATTTTTAATTTGACAAGTTGATCCTAATAAGAAGAACCAGGTGCCTTATATAAATGCGTGCATATAAATACATGATGAGAAGTGGCAACAGCGACGAACTAAAAGCAAGCACAAAGGACCACTCGACTAGTCGACGAGTCAAATCTTAACAATCTTAGATAGATAATGTGAGATTTTACCTCGAAGGGAGGTAAGTTATTCCGATGTTGTGTAAGTACCGATGCGGTACGTAGGCCCAAATCAGATAAATCCCTGCAGGATCAAGAAACAGAAATGTACATGGTCTCATGGCACTGAATAACACTTTGGTAGACAGCTGCTTACCAAACAATAGCCAAGACGAGACATAAGTGACAAAACCTTGAATTGCGCGTTCTGTTAGGGGTCCCGGCGTGTTTACCGACTTGGGTAGAGTAACTACAAGGGAGATAATTCCTCTCCTCTTCCCCTTATAGGCAACTTACACTTGTATCGCCTCATTGGGACAGTTGGAATAGTCATGGTGCTGAAAAGGGACCGAAGTAGGCATTTAACCACCCCAAAACCATCACAATTCGGGAAGAGAGAAGACCCAATAATACTCCAAAAAACAAAGTTCCAATTTATTCCCTCAAACAGGAGCCCATGCTTATTTACAAAGCTCTAACTGCTCTAGTTCGCGTCGCAGACCCTCCTCTCTTGCTATCTTCTCCAACTGGGTGTTTTCTAGTCTTGTGGTCTTCTGAAGCACCTTCAGCCTTTCAATTTCACCCAGTTTCTAAGAAGTGGAAAACATAAGTTTACTTTGAAGGTCATTTGCAAGTTATGGCGCCATCAGTTTGTGAGAAAGATGGTACCTTCCTGAGGAAATTGATTTGCTTCTGATTGGGCGAAGTTTGTTGGGTTTCGGCGGGCTGATTTCCACCGCTTCCATTACCACCCTTCTTCTTCTTCTTCTTTCCTCCTAAAACAGTTCTGATTGAGCAGGCTAGCGACGAGTGATTGCGTACAGTAATTCACGAAACACCAAAAGGTTAAACAGAAAAAAAGATTATTAAATACAGATTCAACTTCAATTAAAGGAAAAAGTCATAACAAGAAAACTCGTTTCTGGTGGAGAAAGTTAGCGAACTCAAGCTCTCATTCTCATATAAGGATTATGCAAGAAGATACCCTGTTTGGAGGCTCCAGACTCAATGGCCACTCCCCCAATGGGACCGCGAGGGGCAGTGGCAGTAGCACCGGTGTCGGACGTAAAAGCGAGGTGCGCAGCGGAACAGAGGTTACGATTGGGACGACCTGAGGCCACATTGGCGGCATGGATGGCGGTAGCAGAGCGATTTCGCAGCGACGGTGGTACATAGGCCTTCGGTTTCTCCAAACGAATTGCTGGTAACTGGAAAGAGTGAATGCGAAGAATAGAAAGGAAAGTTCCGTAAACCAAAAGGACAAATTAGTCCTTGACACACCTCGCTAGTTGGGTCTATTTTTAAGCGCAAAACAGTCGTAAGGCTAGCTAACCGCTTTTCACGCACTGGCTCGGAGCTGGATAGAAATTACAAGAGGAGCACTGCCAAGCTAAAACCGCTTCAGTTTATACTACTTAGAAAGTGATCAAAATTTCTGATTTCACCCAACCATTCTTCGCAGACGAAAGCATAATAATGAAACGAGGAGATTCGGAGTTTCCTTACCTGAGCAACCGATTTTCCGTCGGCTCTCTGACCTATAGGAAGTGCAGGAGGAGGAGGCAGCTGATCTGGTGGGAATGGACGGGGCAGGACCTGGTACAATTCATGTTCTGTGACTGCAGGTAGATCCACTGTAGCAGGTCGTGGATTGGCCCGCTTTTCCACAGTCTCATGTGCCAATGGACGGCCTGTAAAGTGCCACACGGTCCACCTAGAAGAAGGAGGTTGATCCAGATATGTGCAACTTTCCATGCTATTTCAAACCAATCGCATCGTAAAGAGTTCCGTTTTGACATCACATACGACATGCCTAATAGTCATCTGCATCATCCCAAAACGATTTTCCGTAAATTTTGAAACATATTGTTGGTAAATATTCGATTTCAGAAATATACAGGCATCGAAACAAGTTAGAAATAAACTAAA